CAAATTTGGGTCCGAAGGGCAGTTAGGTAATTTGGAGGTGCCTCGGGGCGAAAGGCCAAGTTGGGCATTTCAAGTAGAATTGGATAGATATCCATTCTAAATGAACCATGGATCAATGAAATCCCCATTTTGGGCTCTCATGTATTGATCTTAATTAGTATATTGTGAAGATATAGTAAGGGTATAATGTACCTTAGCTTCAAATCAACACCTAGGGTCAATCCTAAGGCCAAGTAACCCTATAAGAACTCTTCTTGAGCTTTCCCATAATGATCTTACCTTCTAAATATTAGAGGTTAGGACCAATATGTGGAATCTCAAGTTGAGCAAAGAGAAGAGTTTGAATTTCTAATGGTGATGATACCTTTTCTAGTTTTCTAAGACTAGTCAATAGGAAAGTCCCATGGCTAGACCTAGGCTACTAAAGAAGTTTTTAGACCTCAAACACAAGTGAGGTCAACAAGAGGACATGACGGGAGGTGTAGATGTGGTTTGTATGGGGGTCGAGGTAGCGATGTCCCTTTTGGGATGTGGCATACCCGAGAATACGGTTGCAAACGAGCTGAGTCTGACCGAGCTCAGGCTTGACTTGTGTTCGACTCATTCAAAATTGGCTCATGTTTGAAATTGGCTTATGTTTGAAGCAGCTTGTGAACAATGTGTTCGTGTTTGGCTCGAAATTGGCTCATTAGAATATAAAATGATTATGATAATTAATTTTTTTAAAAAAATTAAAATAATATAATTTTTAAAAAACTATTTGTATTAAAATTAATTAATTATAATTTATAATTTAATTTTATGAATATTTATCATGTATATATATACATTTATTTATTTATTTATTTTTGAGCCAATTCAAGCCGAACACGAGCAAACAAACTTTGGTTCGTGTTCGGCTCATTAGGCTTAATGAACGAGTCGAACACGAGATGCTTAACGAGTCAAACACGAGCTGTTCGCGAACAACGAGCCAAATTGATAGCCCTAATCGGGGGAGTGGAGAGAGTTTTTGTTTGTTGATGGTCTAAGCCACGAGTAGCATAGACAACCGAAAGGTGGTTGAAGGATGGTTGGGGAAGCTAAATTAGTTCGTAGGGTGAGATTAGATTTGTTGCAGTGGAAGGGAGTTGATTAATTATGTAGCAGGCTGTAAGGAGGGTTTCGACCCATAGATGAGGTGGACGGGAGGTTGTTGTTATGAGGGAGCTAACTATTTCAATGTGGTGACGGTGTTTACGCTCGACAACACCATTTTGTTCAGGAATGTAGGAGCATATCTATTGATGTACGATCCCAAATTTTTTATGTTAGTTTGTAGAGTGTTATTGAGGTAGTCTCCACCACCATAAGTGTGAAGAGTTTTAATTTTAAAGGGAATTGATTTTCAATCATAGCTTGGAATTCAAGAAATTTATTTGTTGTTTCATTTTTATTATGGAGTAGATAGATCCAAGTGTAGCGAGTATAGTTATCAATAAATACCAAGTAGTATTTATAAGCTTGTAAAGATAATGTTGTGGAAGGTCCCATTCATCTGTATGAATAAGCTGCAAGGTAAAAGAAGACATCGTAGGGGATA